GTTGCTTGCTTGCTTGCTTGCTTGCGTGCTTGCGAGGATCGGAGGTGTAGGAAGGTGTGAGCGAGTCGAGATCGCGAAAGCGATTCGCAAAGAAGGCCTTCAAGTCGCGATTTCACGAACAGCTATTAGCGGGTCAGCAGGACGATGAGCCGAGCGCCACAGACGAGCGTGGGATGGTCAATCAGAATCTTATAGGTGAGCTAGAGAATGGTGAGCGAGTGCAGCACAAGCACGGTGAATGATAGAAGCGCCAGAAGATCTGACCAGCACGCATGCATTCACGATTGCATGCAAATGCAAGCAAGCTAGCTGCTCATCATCGATCGCGCGCATCTCCACTTTGCCCGTCCGTGCGCGCACGGCGTCATGACGAACTTTTCGCAATTCCCGCAGACGGGCGAACGCTGTCACGATTCAAATTCGTGACTCTGACTCCAAAAGGGCGGGCGGCACGGCACATTCAAACTCGCTGTTGCTGATGATGCTTGGCGGCAGCCTTATCCGATCACGAATCACGACTCACACTTGAGCCTCGGTGGGTGGGATGACACAAATTGTAGGCTATAGGCTATTGACACTCCAGACTCAAAACTCAAAAACTGACAGAAGATCATCGGACAGTCTTCTACATCAGCTTCAAGCCCACAGTTGAGGACTACGGTACTGTATTCTTGTATGTGCGGCTACTCTCAGTAGTCACTGTGAGCGCAGCAGAGAAGACTCGCGACTTGGCACTGTACGTGACTCAAGACTACACTCACGACTGTGAGTCTGCTGTCTGGGTGCGCGCGACCAGGACGTTATCCCAGCGGCGGGTGTGCTGGCAGCAGCTGGCAGCACCAAACATTTCCAGCGCAACCTGCACCCAAGGAACCCAGGGCAATGCATGCCCAATGTCTTTCTAGATTCTGAATGTTGGTTGAATCAATTCGCATCTATCGTGTGTGTATGCTCGCGTGACTTGTCGCTCCGCAAGGCTCATTCTCGCCGCTTCGATTTCTCGTCCCTCAGAGCGTGCTTGCTACTTGTTCATCTGCTCAACCAAGAATGTCAACAATTCCGTGATCCCTAATTCCTCTTCGGCCTCTTGAGGTGCAAGCATGTCGAAGAAGTGCGCTTTCTCGGGAACCAGACGAAGCACGTGTTCGACCTTGGATTTCTCGAGTGATTCGGCCATGTTCTGGCTGTTTGTAGGTGGGATAGTAGTGTCGCCGGCGCCTGAGCACGTCATTCAGCCAGCGAGGCGAAGAGAGGTGAGCTCGGGATGGTGTAGACGAGCAGAGCGATGCGAATTGCGACTGCGACTGCGACTGCGACTGCGACTGCGACT